CATACACCTCTCATCTGTGGGGATCACTGTGAGGGACTGGCCACACTTTGGACCCTGAAGCGTAAAAACAGGAAAGAACATGTTCCTCAAAGTTTTGTCCCAGCAGGAGAGCCTCAGGGTAACCGAGAGGTCAGATTACCGTCAGTGTAACAGTGGTAGCGTTAAGGAGCCCATTTTTTGTTGTCATTTATCATCTACTTCATTCTTTTTTTAACACTTTAAATAAATGTGCACTTTTGGGGATTGGGGGGGTGCTTTAATTTTCAGAAGCTTGGGAATGATGCCTTCTCCCAGGATTCTTCCAGCCTGGTCTTGAGCAGCACAGAACGGGTGGATGGAGGTGGTGCAGGTAAGTCAGGCCATTGCCTTCACTCCCTTAGGAAAAATACCTGCCTTCTGGTTTTGCGTCTTATATGTGATTGACCGAAGAAAAATTAAGATGGGGAGGCAAGAACAGGCCTTTCATGTTATGTGTTCTCAGCTTTCACACATCTCTTCGCCTGCTCCATCCCCAGGGTCACGTCTCCCACAGTAGCTTTGTGTCTGGATAGGGCACTTTTTCTGATTTCTCCAAGAGATGAAATTTCACTGAGAAGAACTCCCAAACTGGGCATTTAGGGAAGGGGGCAGAGGTGCTGACACGGCTAGTGTTTGTAAAAGTAAGCCATATATGATATGTGGAAGGTGGGTCTTTTGTTGGATATGAAGGAATATTCTTCCCTTTCAGCTTGAATATCCAATATCCTTTATCCCTCTGATTTTTCAGGTATAATAAAAAAAAATGGGCTACTCTAGAGGGAAACTAGAAAGTAACTATTGAAATAGCTCATTAGAAACTCATTTTGCTGTTTGAAGTTCTTGGGCTTAACTTTCATACCTTCATGCCCTAAGAGTTGGGATAGATCTCAGATTTAACCCGCTTAGGTTTGCCAGTCGTCTAAATAATGAAGGCAGCAGAAGGGGTGGAGGAGGGGCGGGAGATCATAGCCCTCAAGCCCTTCTCATTCAGCGTGAGGTTGTGGGCCTCAGCATAGTCCTCCTCATTGAGGACCTGCAGCCTGACCCCTAATGGATTAATGTCCAGACGTGAGGTGCCTGTGGGGGGTTCTACCTGTACCTTGTGCCAGATCTAAGAAGGATCTCAGTACAGCTGTGGGAAGAACTACTGCTCTGTCTTTGCATTTAGTATGGGCGTGCACACTATGCAGTGTAAGGTTTGTCAATAGGGGTGATCAGAAGAACAACATCAAATTCATTGCTTTTCTACAAAGAATTTCAGTCTTGGCACCAGCATGTTTTGATTGTGAAAACATGCTAGAATAAGCGTGTTTCTGTTCTAAAATATCTCTGATGAGAAATGATTATAGCGGTTTGTACGAGACTTCCTAGCGTCAAATGATTGGTTTCTTTCAACTTTGATTTTTAAAGTAAAGTGTGCTTTTTGTACTGTTTTCATTTTTAGTGCCCAAAGTGCACCCAGGTCTTCCAGAGAGCCACTTTGGCTTGGGGACACCAGAAAAGAATGCTAAAGCAGAACCCAAAGTGGAGGCAGGCTCCAGGCCTTGGAGCTCCTGCAGCACACCTACCAGCCCCAAGTCCCTCCTGCAGTCCCCCAAACCCAGCCTGGCGGCACGGCCCACCATCCCACAGAAGCCAAGAACTACCTCGCGGCCTGGTAAGGGTTCTGCTGGTCAAGGAGCTACACCTTGACCAGGTGAGGAAAAAGTAAAAACAACCCCTAGGATTATATTTGAAATGCAGACAAGTGAGGCGCTTAGGGTATAAAATTTAGGGAGGTGCTTTCCCTGCACCTGCATGAGCCTGAAAGGGCAGGTCTCCTTTTAAATTTGTACCTGACACCTTGCTTGACTCACCCTTTCCCTGGCCTGTTTAAATAGCCCACATTACCATTTTTTGTCTGAGTACAAACAACACACCCTTGCCTTCCAAGAGACTGTAAAACACTGGGACAGGCACTATGCAGTTGATGATGGGCCAAACCAGTTGATAATGTCCGAACCATTATCCTCTGGACAGCTCTAGCTTACGGGTTCAGGCACTCCCTGCTGGTCCATGCTGGGACTCCGTGGCTGGCCCCCACCCTGCGGACGCTGTCCTAGGCTCACTGGGTTCTAGGCGCAGCCCCTCCCATGGGGAATCCTTTCCTCGGGATCACTTTACCAAATGATGCCCAGTAACATGCCTGTTCTAGCTGTGGTACCCGTGTGCACATTTATTCTCAAAGACCTCTTCAGTGCCCTAGGCAATGTAGGACTTTGGTGGTCTTGCTGGAAAATTCCTCAGCATTCCTGTCATGTCACGTGCCTCCTCTGGCAGAGCTGGCACTCCTGGCAAGTGAATGGCTCTGGCAGACTGGTAAATGTGGTAAATAAGTCAGATTCAACCGTGTTTCAAATAATCCCTCCTATATCATCAGTAGCCATTTAAAGGTAGGAATTGAAGGCATATGTTTGCTTTTCAGGTTCATCGGAAGCATGTATTGAGCAGGAGTGGGCAGGCCTTAGGGATCATCTTGCCTCCCGGTCTCCCCGCCCACTTTATCTTTGTTTTTAGACAGGAAGTAGATGTGTATCATCTTTGTCAGTAGGATTCTTAGGTATTTTTAAGCAAACAGTAGGCTTTTCTTTTCATATTTTTTTGTATCGAAATGCAGATGCTCCGATGTGGACTTTACTGTAAGGAAGACATCGACTCTGAGTCTATCAGTCACGACTCCTACCCTGACGCAGTGGTGTCTGACCTTCCCCACCCTATTCCTCAGTATTTGCCTCCTAAACAATAGATCTGTGTCCTTTGGTTCCGCCTCATTGGCAAAGAGGACCCTGCCCATTTTAGGACCCCTTCACCTATTTTGTATAGTGAAGTTGAAAAGATTTCCACTGCTTTTAAAACTTGGTTTTTGGGATTCAACTTGGAGAGGGTCCTGTGAATTTATAGTGTCAGCAGCTCCATCACATGGAGCTGAAGGGGCTGCATAGGTGTTCAGAGAGTAACAGGAAGCAGGAAGTGTCACCAGGCCCTCTGGCTTCCCCTGACCCCATACACCTCTCATCTGTGGGGATCACTGTGAGGGACTGGCCACACTTTGGACCCTGAAGCGTAAAAACAGGAAAGAACATGTTCCTCAAAGTTTTGTCCCAGCAGGAGAGCCTCAGGGTAACCGAGAGGTCAGATTACCGTCAGTGTAACAGTGGTAGCGTTAAGGAGCCCATTTTTTGTTGTCATTTATCATCTACTTCATTCTTTTTTTAACACTTTAAATAAATGTGCACTTTTGGGGATTGGGGGGGTGCTTTAATTTTCAGAAGCTTGGGAATGATGCCTTCTCCCAGGATTCTTCCAGCCTGGTCTTGAGCAGCACAGAACGGGTGGATGGAGGTGGTGCAGGTAAGTCAGGCCATTGCCTTCACTCCCTTAGGAAAAATACCTGCCTTCTGGTTTTGCGTCTTATATGTGATTGACCGAAGAAAAATTAAGATGGGGAGGCAAGAACAGGCCTTTCATGTTATGTGTTCTCAGCTTTCACACATCTCTTCGCCTGCTCCATCCCCAGGGTCACGTCTCCCACAGTAGCTTTGTGTCTGGATAGGGCACTTTTTCTGATTTCTCCAAGAGATGAAATTTCACTGAGAAGAACTCCCAAACTGGGCATTTAGGGAAGGGGGCAGAGGTGCTGACACGGCTAGTGTTTGTAAAAGTAAGCCATATATGATATGTGGAAGGTGGGTCTTTTGTTGGATATGAAGGAATATTCTTCCCTTTCAGCTTGAATATCCAATATCCTTTATCCCTCTGATTTTTCAGGTATAATAAAAAAAAATGGGCTACTCTAGAGGGAAACTAGAAAGTAACTATTGAAATAGCTCATTAGAAACTCATTTTGCTGTTTGAAGTTCTTGGGCTTAACTTTCATACCTTCATGCCCTAAGAGTTGGGATAGATCTCAGATTTAACCCGCTTAGGTTTGCCAGTCGTCTAAATAATGAAGGCAGCAGAAGGGGTGGAGGAGGGGCGGGAGATCATAGCCCTCAAGCCCTTCTCATTCAGCGTGAGGTTGTGGGCCTCAGCATAGTCCTCCTCATTGAGGACCTGCAGCCTGACCCCTAATGGATTAATGTCCAGACGTGAGGTGCCTGTGGGGGGTTCTACCTGTACCTTGTGCCAGATCTAAGAAGGATCTCAGTACAGCTGTGGGAAGAACTACTGCTCTGTCTTTGCATTTAGTATGGGCGTGCACACTATGCAGTGTAAGGTTTGTCAATAGGGGTGATCAGAAGAACAACATCAAATTCATTGCTTTTCTACAAAGAATTTCAGTCTTGGCACCAGCATGTTTTGATTGTGAAAACATGCTAGAATAAGCGTGTTTCTGTTCTAAAATATCTCTGATGAGAAATGATTATAGCGGTTTGTACGAGACTTCCTAGCGTCAAATGATTGGTTTCTTTCAACTTTGATTTTTAAAGTAAAGTGTGCTTTTTGTACTGTTTTCATTTTTAGTGCCCAAAGTGCACCCAGGTCTTCCAGAGAGCCACTTTGGCTTGGGGACACCAGAAAAGAATGCTAAAGCAGAACCCAAAGTGGAGGCAGGCTCCAGGCCTTGGAGCTCCTGCAGCACACCTACCAGCCCCAAGTCCCTCCTGCAGTCCCCCAAACCCAGCCTGGCGGCACGGCCCACCATCCCACAGAAGCCAAGAACTACCTCGCGGCCTGGTAAGGGTTCTGCTGGTCAAGGAGCTACACCTTGACCAGGTGACCTCCCAGGGCAGCTGGACTGGGACTCCACAGACGGCTCCAAGGGCTGCTGGTGAGCACCGGCCCAGGGGGTCTGCAGGAGGCCATGAGAAACCTGCCAATCACTCCAGACAAAGGCTGAAGGGTCCCTTTGTTCAGCACCAAGCAAGGCCCACTGACTCAGAGATTGTCCTTGCGTTTGGGGCTACGCCGGGTCGGAGGACAAGACTGGGAAAACAGCCTGTGTTGTGTTGGCCCATCTGCAGTGCTTGATTTAGCTCTGAAATCTACCTCCATGCTGGGCACCTTTCAGTGTAAGGAGGGGGATACAAATAGGGAAAGCCTAAGTACCCATGTTCTTACCCCATATTCTGTGTAACACTCAGGGTTTAGAACAGGTCTTGGTGAACTATGGGCCTGTTTTTGTAAATAAAGTGTTACTGGCACATAGCCGCACCATTTATGTACATGTTTCTGGCCGCGTTTGTGCCAAAATGGCCGATTTTGAGCAGTTGCGGCAAAGGCCATTCAGCCTGCAGAGTCTACAGTGTTTGCTGTTCGGCCCTTTACATGAACCATGTGCTGACTCTGAGTTTAGAAATCTGACGATAGAAGAAACTTAAAAATACTAGAAACCAATTGTGCTCCGCCTTACTCTCTCCTACAACTGCCTCGTTTCCCTATCAGGTTGTTTTTCTTTTTCCCAGCTTTCTGTTGTAAGAATTTATAAACATATAAAAGTAGAATGGTAATATAATGAACCTCTTCACTTTATTTCCCCATGAAAATCAGGCAAATAAGGATAGAGATACATAGATCACGCCCCTCATGGTCACTGCCAAGCCTGGTTGAACACGCAGCTCTGTCGGGTGCTGTTCTGACCGCTCTGTGTGGATAGACTCTTCGTATCCTCACCACAGCTCCGTTTACAGATGCGGAATCTAAGGCATGGAGACGTCGACTTTGGCAAGTCACGCAGCTAGTGGGTAGCAGCCAGACCCTAGGGCTTCACCACCCAGAGAGGTGACCTCTCTTCTACTGGGCATGTGTTCAGGAAAGCAAGGTGCCAGCCTCTCCCTGGTCATTCGTCAGTATGCAGATGATTTGGGGAGAATGAGAAAAAGGCATTTTTCCCATTTTCTCTCAAACATTGTTTTCATTCACTGAGCAGGCCAGCCTGATTAATACTCTCTGGTCTTCGCAGCCCATTGGTCCCTCAAGAAACCAGTGCACAGTCTCCAAGTAGAGGCCACAAGGAAACAGGGACACTGGGGCCACCTCAGGCAGCCAGCCCTTGAAGCAAACTACTTAGAACTTCCTAAGTCTGCTCCCCAAACCCAGACTCACTGTGATGGGGACCACAAAAAGTGTCTCGGTGCACACGAAATATCTTCATAATAGAAAGAGTGTGGAGTATGAAGGCAAAGAAAATAGTTCAAGAACTTTTTGCAAATGATGACTAATCAAAAGCAGGTTGGCATTTTCGTCAGCAAGGTGTGTCTCTAGGCTGAACTAGGGAAACTTACAAATAAGGTGAACCGGATCTCGTTTGTAGAGTATTTTGGCTCCCCAGTTGCGAATGCTGAAAACAAAGCTAACTGGAGTACCAATATTCTGTTGCAAGAAGCTTTTATTTTAGTTTATTTGCTAAATGTATTCATTTATTTGTTAGTACTTAGATATGGAGAAGTATGTTTTTATAGAGCTTGAGAATTCAGCAGGCATTTTCAAATACACCATCTCATTTCCTCTCCACGATTCTGAGAGATTGTCAGGCTAGATAGAGTTATTCTCACAGTGTCCTGTCACACGCGTGCTTTCGTAGTGCAGCATGTAGTGAACTTGGTTGGAATTCTAACACTGAAGAGAACCTGACTGAAGGCTGTCTCCTCCCGCACATGCACACACACACACACACACAGGCATGCAGGCATGTGTGGGTGCACACACGCACACACACGTACCTGATGAGTATTGCTTACCTAGCTGGTAAGAGAGCAGAGAGCTCAATTCAACAAATCCTTTCAATTAGAGTGAAACAGCACAGACTTTAGAATTAAGAGACTAGAGTTCTAATCCTAGCTATTTTGCCATCTTTTTACTTTACCGGGTCATTTAATCTCTTCTTTTGTGCAGCATTCACCAAAGTCCTGTCCAGTTCTTAAAGTCCGTGACTCTAAGTTACTCCTAATGGTTGCAATATGTGTATCTAGGTACACGTTCCCATATTCCTGCATGCACTACCTCACTGGATTTGACAACAGGTAAAAGCATTGGGTTATAAATGTTACATATTTTCAAAAAAATCGAACGCCTTTGTGTTTGAGACAGAAGCAACGTTTAGTTCACTTGTAATCTAATTTTTAAAAGTCAGCTCATGGAAATAATGTGCCTGTTAGATGCACATCTATGAAGTTCAAGGATTTTAACATTTCATAAATATTTAAACATAAAAATGCTTAAAGATTTTAAACTTTCATAAACGTGAAACTAATTTTTGGACAGGAAAATTCTGTGATGCTTTTTAAAAATTATTAGCCATTTGTATTTAAAGATTAACTGGCTTCTGTTTTAAGAATCCAGTTTGTGGAACAATTTGACGCGTGTGTTTGTGTCTCCCTAGAGGACATCCCGGACTCCCCCTCCGGCCCTAGTTCCCCTAAAGTGGCTCTTCTTCCACCTGTCCTGAAAAAGGTTCCGTCAGACCAGGAGAGAGGCGGCCAAAGTAGCCCCCAGCCCAGTCCCAGGACATTTTCCCAAGAAGGTAAGAAATTTTTTCTCTGGGTTTTCCCTCTGCTGGGAGAGTCATTTCAAGAGAAAAGAATTAATCCTGGACTTAGCAAACATCTAAGGGTTTGTTTAAGTCAGCATCTCTTGGATTAAATTTTTGGGACCAGAGCAGTTGCTTTGTTCAGAAATTTGATTCAACGTTACGGTTGACACTGCCCCATAATAAAGGCCCACATACAAAGAACGAAAAGCCTAACAGGCACCTAACGCAAAGGCCTAACTTTTTTGAGGTAATAATCACCACGTGCTCCTGCACTCGCCCCCAGCGTATTAGGAGTTCCTTAAATATTATTTTGTGACTTTATTTCCAAGGTCCGTATTTCTAAGAGATTCCCCTTGTTGTAAATGACCTTTGCTGTGATTCAGGAGCTGCTCACCCAGACCCAGGAGACGTCACGGCTCTTTTTCCTTGCTCAGTCATGAGATGAAATGTTCTGCTCCTCAGAAGCATGGCACCTGCGTGGACACTCTAAGGCCATCACCACACCACTTTGCTCCTTTTCATTTGCTAGGATACGAGCAAAGCAAGATAATCCTGGGACTTGAATGCTGTCGCCCAGAATTGGCCCAAGAGTTGTTACCAGTGGAGTTGAGGTGTATTTGGGGTGGATCCAGCACCCCACCATTTCTTTCCCACACCTCCCTTTTTCTCTTAAATATACAGTTAACTGTTGGGTTCTGTCCTTCATAAAGCGTAATGTAATTGCAGTCTCCAAGCCCCACCAGTAAAGAAATTTTAGAGTCACACAAGTCATTACCCATGTCCAGTTGGCCCTCTTTGAAGTTCGGGGTTGTTTTGTTTTATTTTAGATTTGTTTTTATGGTTTAGAATTCTTTGACCTTTGTAACTTTGACATCTTCCTACATTGCCAATTTTTTTTATTACTAGTTTGGGTTGAAATTAATAGAAAGTGTTTCTGAGTACGATCTTTGGGACTTGGGATTCTAATTAAAAAAATAACACAGCCTGCTTTCTCACCTCCGTTCTTCAGATTTATTTGGTGGGTACAAGTTTCACTCTTACTTACTGGCTATAAATAAAAGAAGACTGGATTTTGACCAAAGCTGGTAAACCACTTCTGTCAAACAGAGAAACTAAAGCAGTGAAAGGTGGCTGGGAATCATTTCACAGGGAATAAATAAGTAGAGGGTTTGGTGTTACGGCCACAGCCTTTGGAAGTCCTGGTGTCAAAGAAGAACCTCTGGTGGTGCCAGATCAAGTGGCTTGAAGCGGCAAGTGCCCCTGACCGCGCTGCCTGTGCCACCGTGGTCCTCCCCCACTCTCACCCTCATTTTCCCTCCTTTCTGCGACGGCTGACTTTGTGTCTTTACTTATAAGGAAGCTTTGAAAATGTCTGAAAGAACCCTTTTGTAGAGAAATTGGAGGGGGGAAGGGGTGGTTGTCCATCTTGTCAAAAGCAATTGCAATATGGAAGGTCAGAAGATTGAATAAAAAATAATCGCTTAACATTTTTTAAAAGTAATGTATTCTAGATGCCTGTATGAATAAAACAAGGCCTAGAGTAACCCCCCAGCCTCATGGAAGAATGGGTACCATGCAGCCTCCATGGTTAACAAAGTAGGAAAAATCCTGGATGCTGGCAAAATGCCCGTAGGCCCTTGACTAAATCATGTGTTCTTTCCCCAGGCTCTGAGATATGAACGAGCTGCACCTCAGACATTTCAGAGCTTCAGGGGTAGATGTTTGATCCCCTTTCTCACTGCCCCAATAGCAAATATTCTGAATGTCCATACTCCCCATCTGGGGTCCAGAGTAAGTTAATCAGAGATCATTTGATGGTATCAGTGGTACTGAAACTGGACTGGGAATATGCATGGGGTCTGAGAACTGTGTGTGAATGCACAAGGCGGTAAGAGTTTGACATCGGTCCGTTTATCAGCTCGCCCACTCAGCTGGCCCAGGAATGATGGCCACTTGTGTGCCCCGTCCTTTTCTTGAGAGAATATTCCCGATGCGCTTCTTCCTATTTTCCTGTGGGTTGTTCATGCTGGTCGCTTCATTTCCTTGTTCTGTGCCTCCCTGTGGACTAGCGCGCCCATCTAATTTCTGAAACAGGTAAATTACTGTGATTCTTCTGGATTATTCCATAATGAATGTGGTATTTGTTAATCCATCCTGGAATCAAAATGGTGACACTGGGGCCTTTTTGTCAGTACTGTTTTGGGGCCGACTCAGAGCTCACCCCATTTTGCACCACATTTCCATACTGTTGGCTGTTGAATTCTGTAGATGTATCTGTTCTGGACCAACACTGTAAGTTCTTGAATCCTTTAAGTGGGGTGGGTAAGCTGATGCTTAATTTTTAATATTAATATTCTTTAGTATTAATGTCAACACACTGATGTATTTCTTAATGTTAAGGGTAAAATGAATCCCTTTTCCTCAGTAGTGCAAAGAGGAGATTATTACAAAAGACATTCAGATCATGACAGTGGCAAGCCTTCCAGTAGAGGGAAAAGATCTTCAAAACTGTACTCCACCATTGCAGAAGAGGAAGTGAATGCAATTGGGCACAGGAAGTCACAGCCAGCAAATGGTTAGAGCCTTCGATCATCACCCCTTGCTGACCCGAAGCTTATGAACCGGCACTAACAAAAACAAACTTTAATTGGGTGTCTTCTTTCCTGGGTCTGGGTCAGGGATTATTCATACAGCTAATTATTTTCTAAATGGCAACAGGATGGTCCTTCATTTGGGGCAAAAAGTTTTGACTTAGAAATCTAAAATCAGAAACTCTTATAAGGAGATAAGTTACTTTGGGCTATGGTGACGTGTCCTTTCAAATTTTTGTGATCATGTGAGTTTATATGTATAGATGGGGTCATGCCTCCTAGTCTCCTCCTTTATCTCTTCATTCTTCTATTAGATTTAAACTTGATTGGATCACAAATTCTTAGAGTAAACACAATTTAGAGCATATTGGCCCAAAACCTTACCATACACTTCTTTAGGAAAGAATCAATAAAAGACCAGCAACTAAACATAGACCCTGCATCATGCACATGATATTTGTACAACAATGCGAATTTTATGGTAGACATTTTATGACCCTTTAGTAAGAAGGAAAAGGTACCAATTAACTTTTCCACCTCTAGGAACCATTTATTCTGTTTTACAGCAGTTCCTGTACGGCTTCTGCCTTCCATTTGACAATGTAGTGTATTCTGTGATATTGTGTCCAGGGGAAGCCCATCCCGGGAGACAGGGTTTGAGTCTGCTGTAATCTCCAGTGGGAAATTTTAGAACAAGTACTGCTGATTCAGAGAGGACATGTCTTTTCTGTGATTAAGCACTCATCGTTTCCCTGGTTTTACAACTTGTTATAAATATGACTTGACAGTCTTTTAAAGGATTGTATCTTAGTACCGTAAAAAGGAAAAGAATATAAAATAAACTGATAGCTGAGATTTCCTTCAAGGCCTCCTTCCCTTAAAATAAGGTACTTTCCTTCCTGTAAAACTTTATTAGAGATAAGCATATGAGTATATGTAGGCTCCCAGAGATGAATGAATGGCCCAGCAGTCTGGATATAACTCCATCCCCTTCACTGCCCTCTAAGAAAGCACCCCAGAAGGCAAGTCACTGGAAATGACCTGATTTACAGGAATAACTTCTCTTTATTGCAAAAGGGTAAACCATTCTCAAACTTTAGCACTTTAAAGCTGGTAATAAACATCTTGTGACCCCCACTCGTAGTTTGATGTCCCTGTGAGTTATGACACCTCAAGTGGGAACTGTTGTCTTTGGGCACTTGCCTTGGCATAGGTTTACAAAAAGCAACAAAAAAACACGGACCAGCTCTCCACCAGCAACATCTGAAGCAAGTGTCCTTGGCCAACACCACTGGATGAGCCATGTGCTCTGACTTGCCTGGTAGTGAGAGACCCGGGTGTAGGTGATGACACACCCTGCAGGACAGTGAAGTCCGTATTCACAGAGGGTAGAACGTTCTGTTTGCACAGGGTAGCATGTGCCCTAGAGAAAACCAACTAGTCAGTTCTTCACTTTTGAAGGATTTCCTATACAGTAGACCTCTTTATAGATACGTGGGTGTAAGTCTTCTCTCTACAAGAGATTTTCTTTGATGTTTTCAAGGAAATCTTTTATCTTCAAGTCAAAGAAAAACTAAACACCTGAGACATCTATTTTCTGAAGAGACAGAATTATTTTTTAGAGTGCATCAAATGAGAAACTCTGTCTCTATATTGTCCTTTTTGATAAGGACATGCAAAGTTACATAAGTTTGGGAAATTTACATACAAATTACTGTGTCCGGTGACTTTTATCACATGATTATTAACGAGGCACCCTTGACGCAATGCAATCTTTCTGAAGCCTCTCAAAGCACTTTATACAACACACAAAGAGACTACCTCCAATACCACAATGATCAGCCAGTAAGGCTTTGAGTTAGAGTAACAAGACCAAAGACTGGTAGAAGCCACATCATAGAAAGGCAAGAAATTCTGCGTCCATCTCAGATTTTTCCTTGACCTCTTGGGCTGCATCAAATTTTGATGAAACTAAATAGGACCATCGTGTATTGCTTTTCTGCCTTGAGTTTTCTTGACATACTGACAGGAACCTTAAAGGTTATTTTTACAGGAGCTTCAATTAAAGTCAATTTAAGTATTATGTTTTAATTTTGTTTTGTTAGTGCCGATTCCTAGCACTTCGATTGTCTTCACCCTTTAGCAGTGCATACATAGCAGCCTGCTTTTTGAACAGTACCTGGTTAACAAAGAGCATGGAGTGGAGCAATTCTATTAAACCATGTTGTGTACTTTCCTTTAAGAGCAGCTTTATTTATGCTAAAACAGCTTTCTTATTTTCCTAAATTATGTATCCGTGTAGCAAAGAGAGACTGTTGTTCTCAAAGCATGCTGCATACTTTTATCATGATTATTATATTTTAATTTGTGTGGCTATTTTAATATTGACTTGATAGGTAAAATGCTTACTTTCTTTGAATGGAAGTATTTGTAACTGCATCTTTTATGTTACATGTCATTTCCTCTCTACATTAAATTATAAGCTGTGATGTTTTCATTAGATTATGTCCTATTTTCTTGAAGAATATAGTTGGTTTTGACACTGTTTGCGTTGCAATGTGTCCCGTGTGTCGCCATCCTGTTCTGTGAGTCCTTTTATATGGCCCTTGCTTCTCCCACGATCCAGCCTGTAACCAACATGTCTTTGGCTGCGGCTTATAGTCTGTTAGTCTCTGTTCTGCTTTTTTCACCAGATCTGGGTTCTACTTTAAAGAGTTCTTCAAGGGAAACTTAATGGTTGGCATTTTCAGCTCATGCAAAAAAGTATAAAATATTCAGGGCTGACTACTGAATATTATTTTAAGGTCATCGTGTTTTCCTCCTGGGGCGTATGATTGATTATCAGTAGAGCTTACAATGGAAAACTCAAATTTTCATATGAATCTCATTCTGAGTTTACATGCACATTTTAGAAGCTTTAACAATTAGCATGTATGTATATATACACATACACACAAAGTCGAATCATCATACAGAATGACAGACTTCATGTTTGAGCCTCTCTGTGCCAATTATTGCCACTGTAGTGGGATGTGAATATACATGGAATATTTGTGTTGAATAAATTATCTGTTCACTTACCTCAAGTATCTTTTATAATTTTAAAGGTACATGGAGTGGTAATAAATACGTGTGTGGGTAGATGTATAGAAATGCTACAGCACATTAACTGTGTGAATACTTGCATTGAAGAAGTGCAGTTAAACGATCTGATATTTTTTACCCTGTATAGTCAGGCATTAAATCAGGCTGCCTAGGAAAAGGTTGATCTGAATTTTGTAAGTGTATTAAAATAATTTCTGGAGCTTTAAGTCTGAAGCACCATAATCTTATTTGACTGTTCAGTAATGGGAGCCTGACGAAACCTAACTTCAATATAATTGTAATTAGCATCCTAATTATTTACAATCAAAAAGATGCTGCCCAGACTGGAAAACAATCTGACAAAGAACACTCCCCCTACAAAGTCGTCTGCACTAGCGATCTGCGCTGATAAGAAGTCAGGAGGCTGGGAGGCCAATGCTTTGGCTTCCAAACTCAACTGACTTGGCTGTGACTTTAGTTCCTTCATCTCACTGTGCCTCAGTTGTCCTGCTGTGAAATGGTGCCTACCTACCACACTAAGCACATCAAATGAGAAACTCTCTCTATATTGTCCTTTTTGATAAGGACATGCAAAGTTACATAGGAAATGGCAGCCTGATACTAGACTCATTATCATAATCACAACTGGTGGTAAATATTTTTAGAATGAATTTTTAAATAGTGTCACTGCTGTCATGAATTGCTTTGACAGGCCTCTAGAAAAAAAACATGTCATTATTCCTCTCAGTGATTATGTTGGCCAAACTACAGTCTTTGCTTTCATTAGTGGTACCAAGTCTATGTCACCAACCCAGAAATCGGCCTGGTAACTCTGTCCTCCCCATCCACCCTCCCTAGCTTCCCCTCCAATCCTAGAGGACTCAGAAGCCATTATCACTTGGACAGAGACTGAAAGACAGTCTGCTTTTTGCAGGAACAATTCCTATGTTGCATTTATCTGAATTCAGTTAGCCCTGCTACAATGACCCTGGTCCAGGGCTACCTCAGGTTTAGTCTGTGACATAAACATTTTTGACTGCATGAATCTCTCTGTTTTTAGAGAGATGTGGTGTCATATAACATGATTAGAAATGGGATTTTGAGGAAGCTAAAATACTGAGAAGGATGAAAATATTTTTTGATCTAAGAATTACAGCAAATAAGCTGTGACTTTAGTTCCTTCATCTCACTGTGCCTCAGTTGTCCTGCTGTGAAATGGTGCCTACCTACCACACTAAGCACATCAAATGAGAAACTCTCTCTATATTGTCCTTTTTGATAAGGACATGCAAAGTTACATAGGAAATGGCAGCCTGATACTAGACTCATTATCATAATCACAATTGGTGGTAAATATTTTTAGAATGAATTTTTAAATAGTGTCACTGCTGTCATGAATTGCTTTGACAGGCCTCTAGAAAAAAAACATGTCATTATTCCTCTCAGTGATTATGTTGGCCAAACTACAGTCTTTGCTTTCATTAGTGGTACCAAGTCTATGTCACCAACCCAGAAATCGGCCTGGTAACTCTGTCCTCCCCATCCACCCTCCCTAGCTTCCCCTCCAATCCTAGAGGACTCAGAAGCCATTATCACTTGGACAGAGACTGAAAGACAGTCTGCTTTTTGCAGGAACAATTCCTATGTTGCATTTATCTGAATTCAGTTAGCCCTGCTACAATGACCCTGGTCCAGGGCTACCTCAGGTTTAGTCTGTGACATAAACATTTTTGACTGCATGAATCTCTCTGTTTTTAGAGAGATGTGGTGTCATATAACATGATTAGAAATGGGATTTTGAGGAAGCTAAAATACTGAGAAGGATGAAAATATTTTTTGATCTAAGAATTACAGCAAATATGTTTGCTCTCAAGACAAATGTATCACAATGTTTTTTTCTTCCTTTGACCCTGTAGTGTTGGAAATTTATTTTTGAGTTACTTGATATGGAAGAACAGCTTATTTTGGCTTTAAAGTGAAATGAATAAAATTTTCTAGCAGATTTCACTAATAATGCTCTATTTTGAAGTTAGATTATTGCAGTGTCTTCAACATGAAGATATTCTAAGTCTTCTCTACTTCGTCCTGTTCACAGTTCACATAGAAGCGTAGAACTTAACTCTTTGTGTATTGCTGTCAAATTATCTCTGTGATAAAGGGCAAGCTGTTTATAGAAAATTATTTACCCTTTTCCTGAAACCTGGCTTGTTAACAACTTTCAAAGCACCAAGTGCATTTAATTTTTTGCCCAATTAAAGCTGAAAAATAAAAATCAATTATGATATTTATTAATTCCTTTTCCTCTCCATCTGAGAATTTGCTCAAAGTTGTTGGGTAAAAAGGAATCCAAAGTTTAAAAATGACTTAATTTTATGATTCTATTTGAAAGGTTTATCCTTTTCAGAATTTTGGGTAATTTAAATGTAATTATCTAAAAACTTAAATTTTTGTTGTTTAGAGATCAGAATCAGGCCCTAACAACTGAATTGGCAAGAGACCTACTACTTAAAATGTTTGCATTTTGACTATTAAATTCCATGAGCTTTTACTTCCTGAGACAGTCGTTAGTGGATTAAACATTTAAATAGCCAGTTCCTGGCAGTTGGAATTGGCTTTTTTTTTTTAAGCATAATGCTAAAATAAAAATGATTAGAAGCATCAAATAAGTCCTGGTCCTTTTCCAGGACTGTGTTTTTGGTTGGATCATTGGAACTTCTGAGTAATGAGGTAGCTACCATCTTCTTTCAAGCCATGCAAAATGTGTGGTGATTGGTATTTTTAGCTTAAGTGGTGTCTATACAATAGGCTTGGTGAGTAATATTTAATAACCCCTAATAGCCTTGTTGGAGTCTGGCATGTGAACCTCTTCCCCAGGTGTGGTAAATAGGCTTGGTGAGTAATATTTAATAACCCCTAATAGCCTTGTTGGAGTCTGGCATGTGAACCTCTTCCCCAGGTGTGGTGGCAGTGAAGCCACGATCTCATAGGGACGAGCACGAACCTGGGCTTTGAAGAGAGAGATCTAGCCTAAGTCCTGAAACCAGGATTCAGCCTACCTTACAGGGTAGTTGTGAAGAGTAGAAATGATAAAACGACATGTGTACAGGGTCAAAACCAGTAATGATTCTCCCACCGCTGCTGCTTAAAGCCTCAGTGGATCCTTCATACTTATATGTGATCAAAACAGCCACAGTAATTGCAATTCCTTTACCTGGAGTCTGGTTCCAAAAGGGTTGAATATGTTATAGGCAGTATTAATTCATTTTCACAAGACTTTAAACTATTCATTTCATAAAGAGTGGAGCTGAGGTTTTCTGAGACACAGAAAGGTCTGATAAAGATTGCTGAGCTTTTCCTTACATCCTGCCCCAAAAGCAGAGATGACCCAACTCTTTAAGTCGTGAAGAAGGCATCGAGTGGGACGTCTGTCCTGCAGCGCCTCCTCCAGGCTGTGTTTGTCGCCTGCTCTTTGCGGCGTGATGTGACCAAGGCTGTCACCAGGCACGGAGCAGCTTCAGAGCGCTCCCCCTTCCTGGCATGAATCTTCACCTCGCCCACATCCTCGCTTTCTGGGGTCCTTGCTCGGATTTTTTACTACATCTGTGAGACGTCCATCCTCTCAGAGACTGGGTTTTTTTATGTTATCTTGTTTTAATTTGTTTCTGTTTTTGTTGGTTCTTTTTTAACTTCTGTCTAGTGTCCACGTGTAATTGGTAAGTTGTTTCTGAGACAGTCCATCCTGAACCCTTCCACTCTTCGGGGCCCTTGTACCTCACCCCATTGTTGGTCAGGCCACTGATACTACCTTGCTGATGGACTCTAATGACTTCCTTCCCCTTCTGTTTCAGTTTCGAGGAGGAGCTGGGGCCAGCAGGCCCAGGAGCACCGAGAACACAAGCAGTGGTCCCCCAGTAAAGATGGCCCCCAAGGGAGCAAATCTAGCGACTCTGGGGAAGAAGCAGAAAGACAGTTTATTTTTGTGTAAAAGCCATCCATGCAGAATCCAGGTGTGCGGGGCGCCTGTGTTCAGCCATCGGGGAGGAGCCGGGGGCAGCACCTCCCCCTCCTTCCTGAGCTCACTTCTCCTGGTGCCTTTTTCTTTTGTTTTTCCTTCTGTCTCTACTCTTTCTTTCTCTAAACAGATCCATTTTTTGGTAATCAAAGCACATTTGTTTGGTCTTCTCCCAGCTTTGGCATTTGATTTCTAAGCATTGCCTATGCCTTCAGCGAATGCCAGCGATGATCCCAGGGGCCCTACTCGAACTGCTCTGAGGCAGCTAGTTTGTCCTGCTAGATGAGTTTTTGGAGGTAAGCAAAGTAACCGGATGCACCCTCACACAAATAACGGCATCCAGCTGCCTGGGGTACTACTGCGTACCGGAGTCAGACCTGCACTTGCCTACAGAGCAGTGTATTCTTGATGTATGCATTTGCACATTGTAACTATATTAACAGAGCACACTAGTAAATACTTTGTACAAATTATGTATATTAGGTCTGGCGATAGCTTTTACATTCTCCCACGGGGACCTCCTTGGTTCCTGGTGTGGGATTGTACATCTGAACTTGGTCGGTGACCTTTGCGATGCCGTCAGCAAGCATGGAGTGCAGGAGGCCCACAGCCATTTTACCATGTGCCCCGATTAATGTGTATAGTTGATTGGAATGAGGTTTTATGAATATTTGTGTTTTATGAAGTCTTTTAATTTCTGTCTGCATATTAGCTTTTAATGCGTGATTTTAAGAGAGAATACTTTGACACCTGTAAAAAAATCAAAATACTACTCTCTAAGACATTTCACAAATACATTACAGGCTGAACATATTTTATTCATATGTATATTTATAGCAATAAAATGATTTTACAAATGGAATTCTGAGCATCTGCAGTTGCTTTTCTTAGGATTATCTTGTGGTGGTGAATTTGATTTTGCCTCCAAAATCCAGAAAAATCACAGTTCCCAGATAATCAAATCTCTTAAATTCAAAGTAAATGTAACTTGCTAGTTCCGGTGCCTTCTCTCACCTTTGAGGAAAAGGTGGAATTTATCCAAAGGTTATATTACCAGTTTGATCCGGCTCCCATTACCTCAAATCCAGGGTCGTGTAAGGGATGAAAGCATGAACTGTGAAGGGTGTTGTGAAGAGTCACCAGCGAGTGTGGTCTCCTATTGGAAGGAAGAGTCATAGAAGGTGGGACTTGTGTGATGCAGCTGTTTCCCTCCTTAGCGCCCAGCATGCGCACGCACACACTCACACTTGGGTGCCTGGCATAGACCAACTACTAGTAAATGTGGGCTGGTTTACTGCCGCTGCTTAGGATTCCATGAAGGCAGGCAGGCAGAAAATTGTTTCCTCCAAATGTATCCCTGCCACCAGAAGTGCTGATAGGAACAGACACCTCTGACCGCTGTCACAGTAGGAGAGTCGCAAGAGGACAAATGGGCCTCGGCGAGCCAATACGCTGTAGTAGGCGAACAAAACCCAACCAGGGCAGTCTGGCGTGGTGGAGCCCACGTCCTGGAGGAACAAAGTGATCTGCAGGGAGGGTTAGTTCTGTCCAGGAGGCTGCAGAGGAGACCGTTGTACGAGGCCATGAAGTGACACCTCCATAGTACAGGGACTTTGTGTGATTCATGGTTGTAGCCCCCGTAAGTGTATGATGTGACCTAAAGGAGACCTTAGAGAGTAGCGGCGAGATAAACGAACAGAACGATATCAGTCTAAAAGTAAATTCCCGTTCATTTAGAGTATTATGTGGTAAAAGTACACTTGGCACCTCTGGATTTTAGCATCGGAGCTGTTCTGGAGAGAGTGGACAGCAGGCCAGACAGTGGATAGCCTTGGTAGGCCTATTAACTCCTTAATAGCTTTATTACGCACTTGGAACTTGATTGACCCTGTGTGCAGTAGGAGCCATTACATATTTGTAATTTTTTGTATTACATAATTTATAATTGCATATTTGTATTATAAGCTATAATGAAATAAGAACTGTGATGTACAGACAAACCCTATCTAGCTGCTGGAGAAAGGCCGTCTCCATGCCCTTGACCCTTCCCTGGGCCAGCTCATTTCCTCCTGTGGTCTAGCTGCTTTTGTTAACGATACATTTTAACTCTCCATTTGCAAAATAGTATTCCCAGAGAGAAGTAAATGGAATGATACATTTTCATTTGCAAAGAAGAAAGAAATGAATCCCAAGTGTGAAAATCCTAAATCGAGGTAGCCTTGGGATTTTTTGTTTAACATTTTTAACTTTCTAGATAAAAGCACTCCCCAACTGTGACCCTGCAGTGAACACCATGGGGCCTTTTCTTGCTCTATCCTTCTCTGCATTTTTCCTCACAGGAAGAGCATTAACCGACACCTTCCACTGCTTGTCCAGGAAGCCCTGGCCAAAGGCTGATTGTGAACCTGACCATTATTTCCACTCTTTAAAAGGTGCTAAGAAAACAGTGGAGGTTTCAGACCCTTTCTGTTGTCACTGCTGTATTTTTGGGTCCTGCTTTTCCTGCGTTACACACTCCAAATAGAAATGTACGTTCCTGACTCTAGCAGAGAGCTGAGCCATGATGGATGGCTGGGACCACAGCCCTTGGCCAAACTCGAAAATCAGAGCAGAGAAGCAAAGTACGGAAGACGTGGCAAATGGAAGGAGGAAGAAAAAGAATGCCATTTTCTCTCCTCTCTCTTGTGTTTTGATTTTTCATTTGTTTCTCCCGAGTTCTGACTGGACAAAGCAGAACTGTAACAAAAAGCCACGTTTTGAGGCCTCCTGGCCTTCCTCTCCTCCGAGGTGTGGGCGTTGGGCCGGTCAAGCTGTCTGCTCAGTGACCTCTGCTACTTCAGCATCGCAGCCCTGCGGCTCTTGGCTCACGTACACCGCGTGTCACAAAGCCGAGAGCGGGAGAAGGCTCGGTCCACTGAAATGGGCCATAAATTTCATCTGCTGGTGCCATAATTAATTAATGTGAGTTAAGATCTACACAGTGTTTGTCTCACAGACATGGAAGAGCAGCAAATTTGGCTTCTGGGGGATCGGTCAGCACAGGCCCAGAGCCAGGGTGGTCTGTCTGGGGTTTGAAATGTTGATCACTGTTGGCCACTGTCACCAAAATTGCCAAGCTTAAAAGTGTAGAACACAGCATTGGAAACCCACAAATTGCATCTCAGGATTTCTTAGTCTCAGGTCAGACTTCACCTTGTTTCATAATCACACCCTGAATCTGTAGCTTCCTTTGTCAGGACAGTTTACAAAGAGATTAAGTCTCCAGCCTACACCTGAAAATTTTCTCATGAATTAAACACTCCCGAATTAGAGATTTCTCGTAACTGATAGAGTTGAAATGTGTGTTCTCCAAGGGCACTATCGATGCTGTTACTAGATAGCGGCAGATTTGAGTAGAACTAGGGTGATGTATGCATACTTTCTAATTTCAGCTTGCACTAGATTTAACTGAAAATGAGGCTGTCGCTTCCTTTGTGCACTGGTGGGCCTGTCTGACGCATCCGCACCCAACCTGATACTCTGGGATTAGACGCACTTCTGTGCCTCTATTGACATACTCTGGTCATGATGTCATTTTTGACTATGAAAGCATATCTAACCTTAGTTTCTGAAGGTATAAAGAAGAGAATCATCTCAAAGACAGAAACATTGTCAGGGTGGTGGACACTCATGTTTACCATATGATCAGAGGGACCTAGATGCAGAAGAATCACTCTGGGAAGATGTGCTTTGAGCTCCCAGACATTGAGTCTCTGCAGAGAATTCAGAGATGAATTGTACATGAGTTCTTCCATAAAGGAGTGTCCTTGCCTGTGCCAATAACCATGGAAGAGGGAGCCCCAAACTGAGAGGTGCTGGTGAGGGAAACTCGTCTTAGGGGCAGTCCTAGACCAGTCAAAGGTCAAGAGGCCACGTGTGTTCTCCCAGGTCCTCAGAGGAGGGAGTGTAAAGGCAGGCCATTTCCCACTTCGGAGATCAAAGAGCTCAAGGGGACATTTGACCCTTCAGGGGCTTCGTTCACATGGAGGCCTGGCCAGGCCTTGAAGCCTGTGCTCTCAGTGATCAAGTGATTTTGAGGTTGGCTCCTCATGTGCCATCTTCTCACTCCCAGGTGACCTCATGCCCTCCCAAGGCTACAAGTCCCACTGTTGTGATGATGGCGCCCTAATCTCTTCCTCTCAATCTCCAGTGTCATCATGATACTCTGTGTGCACCAGAAACTCCTCATGTTTAATACCAATGCTCATGCGTGTAGAGTGACCACATGGCATGCCCAGTAATAACATTTTACAATTTTGGAGACATCTCAAGACTCAGCTCTCACTGAAGATATGGGGCCAGAATCGCCATGCCCTTCCATCTCCATATTGCAGAAACTTTAGCAAAAAGTTGCTGAGCTTGCACCAATACCTTGATGGTGCCTTCATTTGCTACCATTGCACAGGAAAAGCATGGCTTTTTCCCCCAAGGTGGGAGGGCAGGCAGGACCACTTGCAAATGAAACCCTGATTTGCTGGCCCGATCTGCTGGGCTCCAGGACAGGACCCTGAGCCGAAGCCTGCACTGCTGTGGCCCAGGCACACAGAAGAGGAATTACAGATAATAAAAACGTATGGTTAAGACAGAGGCCCCGTCGGACTCCTGGTTGGAGGGACGGTGCACTCTGAGGAATAGGTGAACAAGTTCACGTTCCATTAGCAGAGAGCTGAGCTGTGATGGACGCTGGGACAACAGAGCCTAATGTGTTTAGAGGGAAGTAGGTCTTTGGGGCATCTTCCCAGTACCCTGGCCTCTTCCCACCCTCCACAATGCTTGTCCTTCTGCTGGGCTGTCGGGTGGGAAAGGGGCTGAGCTTGCCTGGATGGATTCATGAGTCCCGGGAGCCTCAGAGGCTGAGGAAGGGAACAGAGGGCAGGAAAACGGCCTCCCTGAGTGCCCTCAGGTCTGAGGGCCGTCCTGCAGTCCAGAAGGGCCGGCCTGAAGACGACTTAAGGGTTAGGGGGATTGAGCCTGTCCAGTAAGAAAAGCAATCTGTTCAGCCTTGTCACTAAGGCGGTGCTCATTCTGGGAGGATCGCTGTGCAAACAGCCCGTCCTGAACAAGCTTTATAAACACTGCAACAGCTGAAAAGCTTCTGTGCAGCAAAAGACACCATCAACAGCACAAAAAGGCGTCCTACAGTGCGGGAGAATATATTTGTAAATGACAGATCCGATAAAGGCTTGACATCCAAAATATATAAAGAACTTACACGCCTCAACACCCAAAAAGCAAATAACCCGATTAACAGATGGGCAGAGGATATGAAGAGACAGTTCTCCAGAGAAGAAATTCAGATGGACAACAGACACATGAGAAGATGCTCCTCATCACTAATCATCAGGGAAATGCACATTAAAACCACAATGAGATATCAACACACCAGTAAGGATGGCCGGCATCGAAAAGACTAAGAACAACAAATGCTGGTGAGGATGTGGAGAAAGGGGAACCCTCCTTCACTACTGGGGGGAATGTAAGCTCGTTCAACCACTGTGGAAAGCAATATGGAGGTTCCTCAGAAAACTAAAAACAGAAATACCATTTGACCTGGGAATCCCACTCCTTGGAATTTACCCAATGAATACAACTTCTCAGATTCAAAAAGACAGATGCACCCCTATGTTTATCACAGCACTTTTTACAGTAGCCAAGGTACGGAAGCAAGCTAAGTGTCCACCAGTAGAAGAATGGATAAAGAAGATGTGGTACATATACACAATGGAATACTATTCCCCAGTAAGGAAGAAACAGATTCTACCATTTGAAACCACATGGATGGAGCTGGCAGACATTATGCTCAGTGAAATAAGCCAGGCGGAG